TCCTACACGTCAAGAAACGTAAAGTTAAATTAGCTGCCGGTTTTTGTTTTACTCTCTCTGAAACACAAAGAAGGGCAACAAATTAGGGAATGTTTCACCGGAAGGAAAAGGCTTTCTAATGGCTTCATCTGCTCCAAAATGCTTGTACGAGCACAGACAGCAGATCTGGTAAACACAGTTTACAAAGAATTTGCTCATCCAACAGGTGCCATTAAGTAGTAATAACTGAGAAAACAAGCAGATATTTTATGGTTATTTGGTAGCAAGCTGTGCCTTAGGTAGTAAGGCAGACCAGAAGCATGATGAGTCACTGTGAGACATCAGTGATGCTGCCTCATGTGCAAAAACTGATAGTCATATTTTGGACTGGAAAGAATTTTTCTCTCGGTATGTTGTCTAGCATGTGATGATGAGGTAATATTTGCTTTCTTCTGAAGTAATGAGGAGAATTTCCTAGAATAAGGTAAACTAGTCTGAAATGTCTGATTTCTTCCAATGGTGGAGGGGTGCAGAGATCAGTTTTGGGATCCCAGGTCTCCTCCCAGGTAATCCAGTATCAATAATAGGGCCCCATCCCCAATCCCACATGCTCTGCTGCATTTTATATGACTGCTCCTGTAAAGTTATCATTTAAATGGCTAACTTTTAACCTCGGATACACACACGCAATTCTTCTAGTGAAGAGATTCATGCTTGCGTACTGGACCATGAAAATATGTTAAAACTGAAGATGCCCCCTCCTCCTTAACATAGAAAGAAATGGTACAAACTTACTCCCTGACACAGATACACTATGTTCAAAGTGATCTTTAGATATCTTTAGAAGAAATACAAGCAGAGCAGAGCACTGAGATACACTGGCGTCCTAGCCCTCTGACTGATCCTTATCATTGCCTGGGAGTTCAGTACAGGATACTCCCTACAGTAATCTTACCTTTTCTCTTCTTTTCTTTTCTAGCATTTCCACTTATGATTTTAGAAAACACATTTTTAATCACCAGAAACAGCTGTAATTTCTTGTGCACTTCTGCCCAAGCTGCAAATACTTCTCAGGGTTGTGGGGTTATCAATCAGAGATGCTTATGTACAAAGTAAGGAGCAGGACCCTAGATCAGAGCTCTCTGCAGAGAAGATACATTGAATTTTTAAAGAAAAGAAAATCTTATCCATGAGTCAAGCAGAACAACAGAGACACAGTGCTGCAAGAAGAATGACTGTCAGGAGGCTAAATACTGCTGTCCTCACTCTGATTAAGGAGCGCCTGAAGTCAATGGAGGTTTAACTTGGGTCTGAAATGACAAATACGATGTTTAGAGATGCTTAGCACCAACAGCTGACATTGATTTCCACTGGAATCCAGGAGGCTCAGTACTTTATAAAAATCAGACTCCACATTTTACCAGAGTTTTGTTACTGTGAATAAATAACTGAGTACTTAAAGAAGCTTTAGTGTGACTTTTATCTGATCTTTATAAGAGCACTCATTAGCTACTTGCTTTGGAATCTCTCTGATCTACACGCCTGACCAACAGGACCTAATAAATGCAAAGAGGAGAAATAATGTTTTCTATAGCTCAATACCCGTTCGATGTTTAAGAGAGTACACCCAGCATCTGCTACAATTACACTCCAGTCAGCTTTCCCACAGAGTGCCAGGGTTTAAGAGAAATGTGTATTATCCCAACCACCCTCGGAAAGCCCTCAGTACAAACACAGTCCAAAAGAGAACACAGCCAGACTCACTCCCTTCCTGGGGTTTTACCAATAAGTCAAAACCTTAACACAACATAAACTTCAGCACAAGCTTCCTCTCCAAGTTTCACAGTCATCAGGATTTGCTTCTTTTGCCACAAATCCTTTCCATAAGCAACAGGCTTCTGTTCCCTTCATATCCCACTTCAACTCAGCTGGACCCCCTGGGGGTCAACCTGTCAGCAGCAACTCTGCGCCTTGGTGCACGGTTTAGCTCCTGTCCTTAGACTAATTCAGTAAAGTTGCTCTGAAGGCAGGGAGAAGTCAGAGCCTGCTAACTGCTTACAGGCAGATGATCTCCAGCTGACCTGGAGCAATCCTGCTGGGCAGGAGAAGCAAGCGAGGCATCACAGCAGCTCAGCTACTCAGCAGCATCGCAAGCTGTACAAATCTTGGCAATTTGCAAAGTACAGATGATCGGAAATGGGTATGAGAACAAAAAATCACAGGTTACTGGGGTCTGTAATACTAATGACCCATTACTACAACCCATAAGTGTTTTGCTTATTCCATGACATCCTATGCTACTGAAAATAAAAAGCATAGATTCAAAATAAATTGCTCTGTGCCTAACAAAAATGAAAATCGCTTGATCTTTGACCTCATCATTTCAGTTTCTCTGGAAAAGCAGAAGACCATATACTTACTTAGTCTGCTGTATCTAAATAACTCCTACTACAATGGAGCCATGGTCTCTAAAATAGTAATGATAATAAACCTAAAGAACTGCTATGGCATTTAAGCAAACTATTTTTATGGATTTTATGGAGTAACGGAGAATTATCAAAATCCTAGACTATTTTCCTTGGTGCTGAAAAAGGCATCCATTAAAAATGTACTAATTCAGCCATGGCCAAAAACATGAAAAGCTACAGCCCAACACCTGCAGGCCATAAGGGGAAAGTGGGTGGGAAAGGGAGAAGCAGCAGCCCCAGGAAATGCTAGCTGCTTCTGAGTTGAGGCAGGAGTTACGTGTGAACCAACGCAGACACATGTGGCACCTCTTCCTCCCACATGCTCTATCCCCAGGTTTCAGTACGTTTCTGTGACCTTTTCCAGTGCTACAGATAATTTGTGTAGCAAAAAGAAACAAAAGCAGGGATCATACCCCAAACTCTGGCCATACCACGTTGACTGGGAGTAATATGTACGGATAGAAAACCATGCCAAAGCAGAAAGCTATATTCCCAAATTAGACCAGATCAATTAGATCAGACCAAGGTCATTAAGGCTTTTAAGAGTGATGTGATGGGTACATCACAACGTAAGTATTACCATGTCCTCAATGACAGGGGTGAAACAACCCCAGCAAAACTTTTTAACAACCTTCATGCCACGTATATGGGTCTAATGCACATATGTGCAGCAGACCTGGGCAGTGAGCACCACCAACTCTCCTCCTATGTGCGGAGAAAGAGCCAGGCGAGGGCGTGATGTGTGCAGCTGTAATAAATCATGACTGACATTCTTTCTAAATGAGAGTCTGTAACTTCAATCATCGTTTCCCAGTTACATTACCCACATTTCAGCAAGTCCTGAAAATGATTTAAAAAAAAAATAGTGGAAAGCGTGCAATTAATGAGAAAGTCAGGAATACGTGAAAGCTGCTTTATCATGGCTGTAAAGCGTGGGTGCCTGGGAACATGGAGTGTAAATGCAGGAGCCGTGGGTACCACATGGCTACATCCAAAAGGACTGCGTGCCATGTCACAAGCTAAAGGGCAGCGAGTGGCACAGAGTCAGATTTCATTGCTACAGGATACTGAAAATATTGTAATGTGTGTATTAGTAATTAATTTGGCACAGTGACAGCAATTTTACTGTAAAATGGAGATGCGTGACTATTACTGGAGCCTGCGGGGAAACAAAGATAAATGTCCTTCCCCAGATCTCACATCATCCAATAACCAGATCAGGAATACAATCCAGGACTGCTGACACCTTTCTCTGCTGCAGCCACTAGATCACATTACCACAGGCGGAAAGTCCTCCGAGCGTTAGAGGTCATTTTCTGTACAAAGCAGGAAAATGGAGAGCCTGTTAGATAGAAGGAGAGGAGAAAAGCATGGCTGGGACAGCTCCACCTAAGAGGGAGCTGTCTACTCTCCAGAAATAGATAGGGGTGAGCACTAAGGACACAAGAGTTATTGAAGGTAAAAGTAAACTCTGGCACAAGAACTGACAATAAACCATTTTAAAATGTTCATGGATAAATTTACGCTGGAGATGAGAAGGAACCTCACTTACATCCTTACTTGGAAGTGGGAGGATGAGGGCAACAGAGGAGGGGAGAAAGAGGAAGAAACCCATACGTTCCATAGTTCAAAGAACAAAACCAGATTTAAAAAAAAAAATAAAATTTTAGGATATGGCTCTGGCAATAGCAAGTAACAGCTCTACATTAACCAGGCAATGTCCTTCTGTTCTATGTTGCTGTGCTACTGAAGAATTGTTATCAAAATGCACAGAGGTCCTTCACTTTGCACTTCTCTTTCCTTTATTCTTTTCTTTATTGTTCCTTCCTTCTTTCTCTCACACCCATTACAAATGCCAGGAGGTTCAAAGCCCCAGCAGGTTTGCTGCCACCTGGTCCCGTCCAACATGTGATATTTGTACAGAGACTAACACATTACTTTGTACAGCCATGGCGTTGAAAAGCTTGCAGTTCTCCAGAAACATTGAAAAAAATGGCTTTCAGGCCAGGTTAGCCCATGCCCAAATGCCACATCATACAAATTGCCTGTGAATGGTGTTTTAATTTAGCTCTAATTTGTGATAGCATCATTATCACATGGACTTAGTGTGCTAGTCACTATACTGATACAAGCTAAAAAAGGCCATCTCCCTTCCAGAGAAATCAAAGCATAATTAGGGATACATCAATATTTGCATCAGGCAGGGGTGCAAAGAGCCCTCTGCTGAAGACTCAGTTGCAACCACCAGACCAACAGTGAAGAAAATGGGGGTTGCTGGACAAAATGACAGCTCCAAAATGCCAGTGGTCCTGTCTGGTCAGTAGCAATCAGAACAATTAAATGTAAGGCTTGCTTTTCAAAACACAGAAGGGTTTTCAAAGGCAGCAGGTTTAAAATGCCAGTGGAGTGCCACGTTATCTGTACCATACTGTTATTTTTAACCATCCATGGCCCCATCCTCCTACACTCATTTTCCTCCTGAGGCTTCCACACCTTTAGTTTCCGCACTGCTACAGTCTCCCAACATGTTTCTTCCTCAGATGAAGTACTCGCCCTTTGCTCTTCTTCCTCCCTGCTGGTGCCTCTCTCAGCACGCACCCTCCTCAGAGCTCGTTAGTGCCTCTGCTTCAAGAAGCACATCTTTGCGGGTGACTCCTGAGTCCTTATCTTGAGTTGTGCCCCAGTTATCAGGCAGGTGCAATCAATAAGAAGGACGATCAGAGCTGGGCTGAAGACTTACAGTGCAGGAGAGGAGAGAGCATGGGATTAATTCTGGCGTGGGAGAAAGAGAAAGGTGTGACAGGAACGGCGAGACAGCTGCAGCATCCATACCTGCTATTCTGCAATGCATTTTAAAGCTTACACACATCAAGAATGGAAATATCCCATATTTATATTGGGTACGGCCAGACAGCTCGTTCCTGATGGGATGCTCCCTGCCTCCTGTCTTGTAGCACCCCACTTGTTACTCAGTCGTTTTCCAGGTGCCACAGAGGACCCAAAGAGGACTTCTCCCTTTCTGTCAACATGGCAGCAGCTTCCCTACCCTTCCTTCATCCACATTTGTCAATGGTTCACTTCAGTTCTTTTGCTTTTCCCCTTTCCTTCCCATTCCTTGATTCTGCCTGCCCTTGTGACAGAGAAACGAGGAGGCTCTTATCAAATGCTTTCCCTGGCCCTCCTTCAAACTAAGATTTCTCTTTAAGTGCTGAGCTCCAGTGCGGTCTCAGCTGTTCCTTCCTCTCTACCCTCCCTGTACCTCATGTCAACAATTTTTTCTGCAAAAATGTCACACGTTTTTCTGCTCAAGCTTCCTCTCACTTTCCAGGGTAACTCATGTCCTCTTTGTAACTCCCAATAACCTTCCTGGAGGTGCACTGCCAGTTCTTCCTACCCCTTCTTCCATTGCCTCCTGCGCACGCTGTATTTATTGTATTGCCACCTTCGTGTTTTTTTCTCATTCTTATCTTCTCGTCTTCTTTTGTTTAGTATTTTCTGCTTGACAAATATCAGTCTACTACATACAATCTCTCTCCTCACAAGAGACAGGGTCACACAGGTTATATGGAGAAATTTTATGTGCCCAAAAACATGTCCATTTTTCCTGACTCCGTCTAATATAAACATTGCCTCTGCTGACAAAACTTTGCCCTCTTAAATCCTTGATCATAGTGGCTACAACCCCCCAGTTTCTTCCTCAGCGCACACCTCCTGCAATAATTACCTGGGGGATGGTCCTCTACCTTCAGCTGATGCATCTCAACTCTCCAGGCAGCACATCTCATGTCAGAGATGAGTCCTCTGCAAATGGAAACTCTCTTCCCTGATCCTGGGGTAAATGCCAGTTTTTAACAAATAACACAGAAAACCTTATTGCAATGGACCACCTGTGTATTTTCACCAAATTAAGAAAAAAACCCTGTTCTATAAGAAGTTTTAAGGCTGGTTTGAAAGATAAACAATCCCCCCGACAGATCATAACTTCAAGAAGGTCGGTGAAATAATGTGACAAGGGTGGTGATTAACTCACCACAAAGGAAAATGTTGAGTTGATGTAGGTGGCATATAAAATCCCCCCCTCTCTTTATGAGTCAGGTAAGCTGCCAGAAAGCGGAGGTGGAATCCGTGGGATGGAGCTGTTTTCATTCCAGCCAGTTAGTACTATGCTTTTTTGAAAGACAAAAAAAAAAAGTTTAATTATTAAATCAGATTTTTTTAAAACTAAGAGTCTTATTTAAATAGCAAAATCTAACATTTGCCCTTGATCCCCAGTGATGCTGTTTGTAGTCAGTGGTAGTCAAGGGGAAATATTATTAAACAACTCCACCCCCACCTCCTGAGGTTAATGTAGCATTTTTTGGTTATGCATCTATTCTTCCATCTCCCACCCAATGCATACGATCCTACAGTCTCCTCTCCCTCTGGCTCCAGAGAAAAAGGGAAGCTGATGAGCCGAGATCCCAGCCTCGCCCCACACAGAGCCCTTTTTCAGAGGCAGAGCTTAGCTCTGACCAGGAGAAAAGCATTTCTCTCCCAATAGCTGCACAAAAGTGGCTTAACAAATGTATAAAACAAAACAATTGGCAAAAAAGAAAAGCATTTTGTGGGGTCTTATTTTGGATCAGTCCAGGATTGTCGTCTATTCTATTCAAATAGATGGTGGTGTCCCTTATCTAAAATCATAGAGTTTTCGTTACCAAAATCAGAAAATTAGAAATGTGAAGAAAACGCCATTAGTTCCTTGGGTTCAGGGGGCTTACAATCCTCCTCTGGTACTGTCAGTGGGGGCACAATAACTCGTCTGTTCACGGTGCAGCCTGAGCGAGCCGCTTTCTCAAGTTCACTGCTGAATTTAGGAACATTTCCCACATACTTAATTCTTCAGTCTACCCGATACGTGTGTTTGAGGATGGGCAGGAGCAGTGTATTTCAGCTGATGACAAAGGGACGCAATAGGATCAGACTATCAACATAAGAAGTCATTATTTTGTTTCAGCTGGAGAATGGAAGATCTAGAGTGGAGCAGAGACATATGTATGCACACATATATGTGTAAATATAAGTCAGGAGAAAGGATGGAGGAGGACAATGACCAAAGGAACAGCGTGGAGAAAAAATGTCAAGAGGAAGGTAGAGTAAGGCAGTGAACTGAGGTGAGATGTCAGAAAGGAGACAGAAAGACAAAGTATAAAAAACGGGACAGAAGAAGAGAAATGAAAATACGGAAGGCGAGGATACATGAAAGGGGACAAAAATGAGAGAAAAGGTGTGAGTGGACAAAAAGCGGAGAGAAGGGGGAAGGTAAAGTAACCAGCACAATGTTTGGCAAGACAGAAATACTGAAGCATAAATAAGACAGAGAAGAGAGACGCGGAGGGTCATAAGAAGAAAAGACCTTGCACAGCAGAGAAAATGTGAAATAAGCAGTTGGTGATAAAAAAATCACCTGCCACAACAGCACTTCTGAGAGTCATAGGTGAGAGGTGTTGCTGCCCCAATGAGGGACAGTATCAAGCCCTGGAAAGTGACAGGCTAAACCCAAGGAGAACAAAGGATGAGGCCAGGAGAAGACAAACCATACCCTTGTACTAGGTTGCTGCCTTTTGTCTAAAATAGAAATCATGAATGTCATTGAAATTGCCACTTACACGTTACATCTGAAGCTTTAAAAAACCTTTTTTTTTCCCAATACAGTCCATCTTCTTCCTTCTTCTCTCCCAATGTTGGATTAAATTAATTACTGTACACTCCACAGTTATACCTCCCTGACAGGAAAGAAAACCCCAGACACCATTACGCCTACAGCAGACCTTGCTCTCTGGCTCCCTTTGCATATAGAGGCTTCTGTAGAAATATTTTAGTAGACAAAGCTAGATTTCCTGCAGCTCCAAAATCACCATGATAGAGTTGGGTATCATTAGCAGGATGAGGAAAGAAAGAGGAAGCAAACAGGGGTGCATGCTCAGGGAAAAGGCTTTTTTTGTTTTCATAATTAGGAAATCTTACCAGTATAGAAGGAAAAAATTGCTGCTGGTAAATAATCTGTCACTCCTTTGCAGATTGAATAATAGGAACAAAAGAAGGAGGTGTGCGAAGTACATTCATATTATCAGATTCTTTCTGTTATTAACATGTGTTCAATGTAATAAAAACATAATCAGGAAAATAACACACTGTAACAAAAATACTGTGGAGGCTATAGAGTAAAAACACCAGGAAGATCAAACAGCATTCCCAGGGTAGCACCAGCCTGAGAAACCAGAGCTTTATTAGTAGTAACAGGAGCAACATATGGAGATGAATGAAACCGTGTTTGTAAATGTGATATGCAATTGCACACTCTCGCTTGGCTTCCCTTTTTCACAATCTGACTCAGCCTCCACATGGCTCCACTCCCCCATCTTTTGATTCATAAATTCTTGATCTCAAAAAATAAAGAGTTACAAAGACAGCATGCAAAGGGCATGAGATGACGTGAAATAGGAGGACACTGGCGAGCGCAGGACGTGCCGTCAGTCACCAGCCTGCAAACGGACAAATCTGCTGGAGAAAAGCAGCAGAGCCAGGGCCATCCCCTCCAGGGGCTCGCCGGAGGACACCGCGCAGCAAACCACGGCTCGTCTCCGTTGCGCTAGAGGCATGCGCTGAGGTAGACAAATCTATTGCAAAATTGTATAATATTGCTTATGCTGCACGGCAGCTGCTCCATTAGGCAGTCCCTGCATCGCCAAACCCAGAAGATGGGACATGCGAGGAATGAGAAATAAAAGGGTTTCTTATGGCACATACTCCCTGTATTTCTTAAGCTATGAAAAAGAGATCAGGGTTAACAACAAGCCGTGCAAAACACAATGAACGGTGCATGAGCAATGGTGTACAGCCCTATACGCTTACTAAATAATTAACAAATATACACAGTGTGACATAGAGGTGTCTACACACAGGAACGACCCCTTCCCTGCGGGCCTGGGTTCCCGAGCGCGTGTGTGGTGAGGCTGTAGGCAGAGCAGCCCAGAGCAGGTACCCCGGGCTGGACTGCAGCCCCCAGCCCTGCCACCGCCTTGCCCGGGCTCAGGCACGTGCTTCAGCCCCCGGTTAACCGGAGCGCAATTAGCTCCGGCGATACGGTGCCTGCGCTTACAGCAAAGCACAGGCAAGGCTGCCGCCATGTCTCTGTATTTGTCAAGCCCGGAGCACAACGAAGCCCTGATCCTGCGGGGCTGAGGATCCGGCCACAACGCACGCTACCGCTACCCACACACGGCATTACGGTATAGGCTGTATAACAAATAGCATACTTAGACAGCGCAATCCCCGCTGCAGACTATTCCGGTGTGCAATGCATATAGCAGAGGGCGGCACAGACTGCACCATGAACAGCCAGCACAGTATGGAGGATCTTGCCTGCTAGGCGTCTGGACTCCTTCGCAGGCGAGCTCCAGGCGCCGGCGCGGCGCAGGTCAGGCGCACGCCGGGCGCGGCGGCGGGGCTGGGGGGTTGCT